TGCCATGAGTTATGCGGAGACCATTTCTCTAGAAAATGACCGGCAAGTCACACCATGGCAACACCAACGGGGTATTTCAGAAGCATGAACTAGAAGAACCAGAGAAAAAGAATGAGGAGAAGATGAAGAGGAGACGAGTAGGCAGAAGAGAAAGACAAGCAGAAATAGGAGAGAGCGAGAGGGGAGGAAGTGAAATGCAAAAAAAAGGCCTGAGGCTGCGGCCCCTAACAAGCGTGAGTTTTCAAGCTTGTGTCAGAACTTTTGCCCGGGAAGCATGCTCAAAGACTCTATGCGCTAGTTTCTAACTCTTGAGGCGTGTGGCCCCTACCTCTCCAAGATGTGCTGCGTTTAAACCCCACCTGAGGTGAGGTTCAGGCTTTAACTTTGGGATTGCCAACCGTTTCATCCTGGCGACCCGCCGAGAATTTACAGCGGTCCTGGTGTTTGGGCCTTACTGTTGGTTTTTACGGGTTTCACATGGTTTCACATGTTGGCATCTTCGCGCTGAAGGGGCGGTATAAGCATGAGAGGGGATATAGGCTTTTCAGGTGCACCCTGACTTTGGAGGAAAGGCCGTCTAGTCAACGTGCTTCTGCTCTCCTTCTGCCGCAAGGCGCTGGCAAAGTGCCAGAGACTGCGCTGAAGCGCGCCGGCGGCCGCAGGTGGCTTTTCGAACTGCAGACTACAAAGCAGATGTTTCGGAAGATTTCGGCCGCAGTTGAGGAGAGTTGTCGGCGCGCACCTAACACCCTGATGCGCTGACGTGATTGTTTTTGTTGTCAGCATAGTATACCAGTAAGAGTTTTTTGTTGAGAAACCACAGCGTGTAGATCCTTCAGGAAGCTGTGAGACGCGGCTATGCCGTAGAGCGTGTGGAGAGTGATGAGCCGTCTTTGGTGCTTCGCCTTGTTTGGAAAGAGGCACGGACATACAATGCTGCGCAGGCTTGGTTTGCCAAAGCGGTCGGTGACATGAAGTCGGTGGAAAGGACAGTGACGCCCATTGACGATGCAAAGGTCGGAAAGAGCATGTGGCAGCTGGTGGGTGGGCGTGGCCAGACCACCATTAGTGCTGAGGCACTGGAGCCGGGCTTGTTCACTTTCCTCCTTGAGGACTTGGCCAACTACGAGGTACCAACAGATCCAGCGAGCAGATTGGAAGCTACTGCGACGACTCCGTTGCAGGTGTTCTTCAAGGTCGTGCCCTCAGCGCCAGACACAATCAACGGCGCGAAGGCCGCGGCAGCAGGTGTCTTGCCTCGCCTCGATTTGTTCCGGAAGGCGTGGTGCCTGAAGAACGAGCAGGCCTTGAACCACTGGCAGAGTGTCGTGCGACAACAGGTGAAGCGTCAGCAGATCGACTCTCCGAACGCTGCCTTTTTTGAGGATTCCGAGATCGAGGAGTGGGCCTTGTGCTTCGGAACGTTGCAGATGTATGCACACCAGGAGACCTTTGTGGATGGTGCGGAGCACTACGATGGCGGGGCGTCGCTGATTCATGGCTGCATCACATACAGGGGAACTCGCGGCGTCAGGCTTGTGTGCCAAGATGGCTCGGAGGAAGTGCTTCGAGTCAAGCCAGGCACGATCTACTTCGGCGACCTGAGCGCAATCTCGCACAACACAAAGTTCAACATCACAGATGGCCACTCGTGGCACGAGGGTGGGTGAGCGTTCTAATTTTCACATCTGTTTTGTCAGCCCTCTGATTGCAAGGCTTCGAGACCGGGGCTGCAGAGTCATGCGCGAACAATCCACCATATTTCTCATTCGTTCTGGGACTGGATGGTCTGTTGGTCAGAGATATGCCGAGCTTGTTGCTGTGTCCGC